AAACATAGCAGGAAAACATTGCGCACGTCTTGAGCAGAGAACAAAGAGGGAACATAGTCTAAACACACCAGGAAAACATAGCAGGAAAACATAGTGCACGCCTCGAGCAGAGAAAAGAGAGGGAGCATAGTCTAAACACATCAGGAAAACATACAGGAAAACGTAGTACATGTCTTGACTCTTGAGCAGAGAACAAAGAGGGAACATAGTCTAAACACACCAGAGAAACATAGCAGGAAAACATAGTACACATCTTGAGCAACGTCTTGAGCAGAGAACAAAGAGGGAACATAGTCTAAACACACCAGGAAAACATAGCAGGAAAACATAGTGCACGCCTCGAGCAGAGAAAAAAGAGGGAACATAGTCTAAACACATCAGGAAAACATGGCACAAAAACGTAGTACACGTCTTGAGCAGATAACAAAGAGGGAACATAGTCTAAACACACCAGAGAAACATAGCAGGAAAACATAGTACACGTCTTGAGCAGAGAACAAAGAGGGAACATAGTCTAAACACACCAGGAAAACATAGCAGGAAGAAGAAGAGGAAGAAGACGATGAAGAAGAAGAGGAAGAAGACGATGAAGAAGAAGAGGAAGAAGAAGCCTTCGTGTTTCTATAAAAGAAGAAGAAAAAGAAGAAGAAGAGGGGAAGAAGAAGAACAGGAAGAAGAGGATAAAGAAGAAGAAGCCTTTGTGTTTCAACAAAAGAAGAAGAACAAGAGGAAGAGGAAGAATAGGAAGAACAGGAAGAAGCAGAAGAAGAACAAGAGGAAGGAGAAGACGCCTTCGTGTTTCTACATAGGAAGAAGAACAAGAGGAGGAAGAAAAAGAAAGGGGAAGAAGAAGAGGAAGAAGAGGATGAAGAAGATGACGAAGAAGCAGCCTCGTGTTTCTTCAAGGGGAAGAAGAAGCCTTCGTGTTTCTACAAAAGAAGAAGAAGAAGAAGGAGAAGAAGAAGAAGAAGAAGAGAAAAAAGAGGAAGAGCAAGAAGAGGAGGAAGAGGAGGAGGAGGAAGAGGACGAAGAGGAAGAGGAGGAAGAGGAGGAAGAGGAGGAAGAGGAAGAGGAGAAAGAGGAGGAAGAAGGGGAAAATGTTTCTACAAACGAAGAAGAAGAGGAAGAGAAAGAGGAACAGGAAAAAGAAGAAAAAAGAAGAAGAAGAGGTAGAAGAAGAAGAAGAGGACGAGGAAGAGGAAGAGGAAGAGAGGAAGAGGAGGAAGAAGAAGAGGAAGAGACGAAGAGGAGGAAGAAGAGGCCTTAGAAACTGAGGAAGAGAGGTAGAGGAGGAAGAAGAAGAAGCCTTCGTGTTTCTACAAAAGAAGAAGAAGAAGAAGAGGACGAGGAAAAGGAAGAGGAAGAGGAGGAAGAAGAAGACGCCTTAGAAACAGAGGAAGAGAGGAAGAGGAGGAGGAAGAAGAAGCCTTCGTGTTTCTACTAAAGAAGAATAAGACGAAGAAGAAGAGGACGAGGAAGAAGTGGAAGAATAAGATGAAGAGGAAGAGGGAGAGGAGGAAGAGCAAGAGGAAGAGGAAGAGGAAGAGGAAGAGGAAGTTGCCTTCGTGTTTCTACAGCAGAAAAGAAGAAGCCTAGAAGAAGAAGCCTTCGTGAGGAAGAAGAAGAGGAAGAAGAAGCCTTCGTGAGGAAGAAGAAGAGGAAGCCTAGAAAAAGAGGCCTAGGAGGAGGAGGAAGAAGAAGAGGAGAAGAGGAAGGGGAGGAGGAGAAGAGGAAGAGAAAGAGGGAGGGGGAGGAAGAGGAGGGAGGAAGGGCGAGGAAGAGGAGAAGAGGAGGAGGAAGGGGGAGGAAGAGGGAGAAAACGAGAAGGAAGAGGAAGAAGAAAGGGGAGAAGAGGAAAAGGAAGAAGGGGAGGAAGAGGAAGAGGAAGAGGAAGAAGAAGGGGGAGGGGAGGGGGGGGAGGAAGGGGAAGAGGGGGAGAAGAGGGAGGAAGTGGGACTGGAAGAAGAAGCCTTCGAAGAGGAGGAAGAGGAGGAAGACGAGGAGGAGGAGGAGAAGGAGAAGAGGACGGGGAGGAGGAGAAGAGGAAAAGGAGGAAAGGGGAGAAGAGGAGTTAGGGGGAGGAAGAGGGAGAAGAGGAGGAGGAATGGAGAGAAAGAGGGAAAAGACGTGGGAAGAGGAAGGGGAAGAGGAGGGGGAGAAGAGGGAAGAAGGGGGAGGATGAGGGAGAAAAGGGAGAAGAGGGAGAAGAAGGAAGAGGAAGAGGAGGACGAGAGAAGAAGGGGAAGTAAGAGGAGGAAGAGGGAGAAGACGAGGGAGAAGATGAGGAGGAAGACGAAGAAGGGGGAGAAGACGAAGAAGAAGACGAAGGGGGAGGGGAGGAGGAGTAAGGAGGGCGGGGAGGAAGGGGAAGAGGAGGGGGAGGGATAGGGAGAAGAGGGAGATGAAGGAGGAGGAATAGGAGGAGGAGGGCGAAGAAGGGGGAGGAAAAGGAGGAAGAGGGAGAAGAGGGTGGAGCAAGAGAACGAAGAGGAGGAAGAAAGGGGAGGAAGAGGAGGAAGAGGGAGAAGAACGCGGAGGAGAGGAGGAAGAGGCAGAAGAAGGGAGAAGAGGG